GGGGATAAAACAAAGATACTCAACAGGCGTCCTCCTCGGCAGAGAGGCACAGTTCGTCAGATCCAGTTGCATGATGGGTCTCTTCTAGAATATGTAAGCAGATACAGGTATCTAGGCTTTGAGGTTCCACTACTTGGACCTGTTGTAACGAGACTTTGTCGCCAATACAAAGAAAGGCTGAGAGCACTTAGAGTTGTGGCAGGTTTTCATCCCAGGTATGGTGCTAATGTTAAAATTGTGAAAATGATGTATCTTGCTTATATTAGATCATGGTTGATTATGCAGCGCCACACTTGCACTCGTGTCTGACTGGAAGCTTGGAGGGCTGGAAAAACTGCAAAACGAAGCAATGAGGATCATCCTAGGATGCCCTCGTACTGCCAAAATTTTAAATATGCGGAAAGAACTTAATATTCCAAGCATTAGAGATCGTGTTACTGAAAGAAATATCCTTATTGGGGTCAATATGCTTAGGCTAGCCCATTCAAACCCCTGCACAGAAGCCCTCCAAACTTTCCTCAGCACTGGTGAACATCCTTCCAGATGGATCGAAAAAACTGGAACCGACCTCCGCATGAACCAGCTACATGATCTATATCAAGTTGGACAACAGAGACATTTCCCTGCTCCATGGGATATTACCCCATTCCAAACTACCATTCCTCCATTTCCCCCCAAAACTCTTCTTAAATCACAACCAAAGCTTCGTCTTGAAGCCAAACATGATGCTTAAGCTGTATTGATAACTTAGTCACACAGAACAATCTTTCACAAATTATTTACGTCGATGTTCTGTTCACCAGTCCACTGGTGCAGCTGGTAGTGCTGCTGTTGTCACACAGAGTGATGGCTCTCATAAAGAAATTGGAGCACGCATCAATAACTGAGCCTCTACCCTTCAAACAGAACTGTTTGCCATACCCTTGCACTTAAATGTGTCCATGTATCTAAGGTTGACACTTTTAATTGTAACTGATTCTCTGTCATCCATAAATGCTCTCAACTCATTAAGTATAAATTGTGGCATGCTTTTGTCAGAAGCCAGACATAGATATGGTAAGATTGTGGACAGTGGAGTCAGAGTGCACATGCTGTGGATTCCATCTCACATTGGTCTTCAGATGCATGATAGAACTGATAAATTGGCTAAGCTGTATGCTTTCAAAGAGGGGTAGATTACAATCTTGGGTTGTCATTTAGCAGTTTGAGAACAATAATACGAAAAGAACTTCAAATGAACTTTATTGACTTAAGACTTAGGGAGTTGACACAAGTCAGTCAATCTATCATCATTCCATCATGCAGGAGGAGCCACATGTCTATGGTGCATCCAACAAGATAAGCAGACTCTTGGATGTCACTACTGCCCGGCTCCGGCTGGGTTACAAGTATCTTTGGCAGGTTAAATCACCACCACCAGATGTAGACCAAACGAAATGTAAACTTTGCCAGATGGACTATTGTCACACATTGCGTCATTATGTACTGGAGTGTGATAAAATTAATGAATTTAGAAACAACTCACTCAGAAGTGTTCAAGAAATGGCTAAGTATTTTATCCACAGTGGTATATTGCAGTCCATTCTGGAGAAATACCCTGACTTTGCTAGCTGTAAATAAAGCATTACCACATGTGTGCATGTGTGCATGTGTGTGTGTGTGTGTGTGTGTGTGTGTGTGTGTGTATGTGTGTGTGTGTGTGTGTGTGTGTGTGTGTGGGTGTGTGTGAGGGTGTATGTGTGTGTGTGTGTGTGTGTGTGTGTTGTGTGTGTGTGTGTGTGTGTGTGTGTGTGTGGTGTGTGTGTGTGTGTGTGTGTGCGTGCGTGTGTGTGGGTGTTGTGTGAGGGTGTGTGTGCGGTGTGTGTGAGGGTGTGTTGTGTGTGTGTGCGTGTGTGTGTGTGTGTGTGTGTGTGTGTGTGTGTGTGGGTGTGTGTGTGCGTGTGTGGGTGTGTGGGTGTGTGTGTGTGTGTGTGGGTGTGTGTGTGTGGGTGTGTGTGAGGGTGTGTGTGTGGGTGTGTGTGAGGGTGTGTGTGTGTGGGTGTTGGTGTGTGTGTGTGTGGGTGTGTGTGTGTGGGTGTGCGTCCTTGTGTGTATGCATATATTTGTACGCTCGTGTGCACATGTCAGTGCATGCGCCCTCGTGTGTGTATGTGCACGCGCGCGCTAGTGTGGGTGTATGATCCACTTAATATTTGTATTTATAACTCATTACAATTGTGACCAGGTGTGGACGTATCAGTGGTTCATTACTTAGTAATTTGTTCATGACTGTAACCATGTATAGGAGTGAAGCTGATCATTACCTCTGTAACTTGCATGATTAGTGACCAGATCTACCTGGAGTTCATTACCTTTGTAACTAGTTCAGCTATCATAACTTTGGGGTCCAGTCACTGGACCCATTATGTACCTTTGTAATCTTTTGACTACCGCCCACAGGATGGGTATGGGGTGCATAAAGATATTAAACTAAAGTGTGTGTGTGTGTGTGTGTGTGTGTGTGTGTGTGTGTGTGTGTGTGTGTGTGTGTGTGTGTTGTGTGTGTGTGTGTGTGTGTGTGTGTGGTGTGTGTGACTCAACAATCAATATTTGCACCAATAACTCATTACAGTTGTGACCGGGTGTGGAAGTGTGAATTGCTCATTACTCTATAATTTGTTCATGATTGTAGCCAAAGTATAAACGTAAGTAACCATTCTACAGAATTCATTACCTTTGTAACTTGTGAGCTCATTACCTTTGTACCTAGTTCAGCTATCAAAACTTGTGGGGGCCCAGTCCCTGGACCCATTACGTACCTCTGTAATCTGTAAATACCTTTGTAACTTGTCATGATTGTGACCAGACTTACCTGGAGTTCATTACCTTTGTAAATTGTGAGTTCATTACCTTTGTAAATTGTGAGTTCATTACCTTTGTAAATTGTGAGTTCATTACCTCTGTAACTTGCTCAGCTATCAAAACTTTGGAGTCCAGTCCCTGGACCAATTATGTACCTCTGTAATCTTTTGACTACCGCCCACAGGATGGGTATGGGGTGCATAATAAACATATTAAACTAACTAACTACTATATTATGTTTGGTAGCAGAGCAGGAGATGCACAAATTAACATTAAGATCGACAACACTCTAATTACCAGACATAATGAGGGCAAATTCCTAGGCCTATACCTTAACAACAACCTGAATTTCAGCACCCATATCCAACACAACCAAAAAAGTATCCATAACGGTTGGGATCCTCTCCAAGATACCGTACTACGTGCCGCAAAATGCCCTTCTCACACTATACCACTCACTTATTTATCCATACCTCACCTATGCTATTTGTGCTTGGGGATCAACTGCAGCAACACACCTAAAGCCAATAATAACCCAACAAAAAGCTGCAGTAAGAATAATCACTAAATCCCATCCCTGGCAACACACCCCCCCCCACACGGCGAGGGCCTGGGTTCGATTCCCAGCCAGAGTTGAAACATTGGACGTGTTTCTTTCCACCTGTTGTCTATGTTCCCCATCAGTAAAATGGGTACCTGGGTGCTATTCGACTGGTGTGGGTCGCATCCTGGGACACTGACCTAATTTGCCCGAAATGCGGAGCATAACAAGGGACTTTCTATATAGTAGTATGTCATTGTTATCAGCTAGGACTGTATACCCTGTACATGTACTTGTAGTAAAATAAAGATATTATTATTATTATCTAAACTTACTCCTTGTTCAGTACATCCACACTTACTACTGTGCAATCTACATCTACAGGACCTTAAACTCCAATATCAACCTTGACCTAAAACGCTTTCTTGATAGTTGTGACAGAACCCACAGGCATATCACCAGACACAAACATCTCTACGACATTCCTCGTGTCCGACTAAACCTTTACAAAAATTCAATGTATGTCAAAGGCCCTAAAATCTGGAACACCCTACCTGAGAACTCTAGAACTGCAGACACATTCATCACCTTCAAATTATTATTATTATTATAATCAAGGGGGAAGCGCTAAACCCGGAGGATTATACAGCGCCCGGGGGGGGGGATGTGGAAGGCATTCAGGCTTAATTCGGGGAACTGGAGCACAGATCCAATTCCCTAAATCAAGAGCCCCTCACCAACATCAAGGAACCTTCCTTGAGGGGCATCACCTTCAAAACTACCATTAGAAAACATCTTATCTCCCTGATACACCCCATCAACTACCTACACGAATACCACCTGGTGGTTCACACTTACACTCACTCACCCATTTGACCATAAACAGAAATATTAATCTCAATCTTAAAATAATGAATCCTATGATACTCCAATACTGAAACTATGTACTGTGCCAAAACAAAAGCATTCACATTGCTAAACTCACAAACTAGCATTTAGTCACTTAGCCATAATACCAACTTACCTCATAATTTGTAATATTTTAAAATAAAGAATTAAACTAAGTCTGCCCGAAATGCCTAGCCATGCTAGGCGTTCTAGTGGTACACTCTGTAATAATTATTTAACTACATGTAAACCACACAATAACCAAATTCTGTAAATTCAACATTGTAATCCTTATAGAGAATAAACTTTGAATGAATTGAACGAATGAATGGAACTCTCTCCAGGTAAACTCCAGGTAAATTATGTCAGTGTCCCAGAATGCGACCCACACCAGTCCACTAACACCCAGGTACCCATTTTACTGATGGGGAACATAGACAACAGGTGGAAAGAAACACGCCCAATGTTTCTACTCTGGCTGGGAATCGAACCCAGACCCTCGCCGTGTGAAGCGAGAGCGTTAGCCACCAGTATATTATGAAGTTATAAAGATTTTTAACTTAAAGGATTCCCAGTGGAAATAAGTTACTTTTTCTGACTTTACTGGGTTATCCTAGGTAATATACACATGTTATTATGATAATTTGCGTAATTGTATTTATGCGTACCTGTACCTCAATAAACTTAATTCATGCCTCTGGAAGTGAGTCGACTACATCATCCAGTATAAGGTTCACACGGCTCCACCACGCCCGCAACCCTTCAACCCAACAATAACAAATCATATTCAAAAATTGCATATATATGTAATGGGTATGTGCAATAAGCAATACGATTTACATATGAGTGCAAATATATTATATTTCCTTTAATATATTTATGATACTGACATAACGAAATAAATAAACAAAGAAGAGACCCTTTTTTTTTTTGTCTTTAGAAAGAGACAACCTTGTGGAACTTATTTGGTATTAATTACATCTTTAATGAAATTTATAAATATCCTATTTATGTTAATAATCGTTGCTAAATATTCCACTCAGTGGCTCTTTTATTCCATCTCTTGTGTTATTTTTTCTTAGAATTGAGTTGCGTCAGCTGCTGAGCACAACATCAGTGAGAACCTTATCATTATCTTTCACTCTTCACTTTATCAATGTTCCTTCATGTTATGTCAGTAGTTAATTTAACACCGCCAATATATAAACATTTAATATGCTTACATAAAATTTTCGGTGAACCTGGATAATGCTGTTTTTTTTTTTTTGATCCAAATTCCCCAGGCCACTCCGTCGATGTTTAGCAGGATGTAGCTCTTGAAGCTGTCTAGCTCTTGATCCAAGGAACTGGACTCTACCTCCACTTCCTTGGATCGATCCTGAATGTCTCCCATTTTCCAGGCGTTATATAACCCCAACAGGTTGAGCGCTTCCCCGTGAATAAAATGAAAATAATTGCCAGGATGTTATTCCAGAGTAATAACCTCTCAAGGTTCCTTGATGTTGCTGAGGGGCTCTTGATCTAGGGAATTGGATCTGCTCCGGTTACCTGAATTAAGCCTGAATACCTTCCACATTCCCCCCCCACCCACAGGCGCTGCATAATCCTATGGGTTTAGCGCTCTGCCTTAATTATAATCCAGATTAATGACCCTTGTAATAATAATTATTTTATTTACTGCAAGTACATGTACAAGGTATACAGACCATAGTTGACATCAATGACATACTACTATATAGAAAGCTGCTTGTTATGCTGAGCATTTCCCTCAAATTATGTCAGTTTTGACCCAGGATGCGACCCACACCAGTCCACTAACACCCAGGTACCTATTTTACTGCTGGGTGATCATGCACAACAGGTATTTAAAAGGAAACATGTCCTAATGTTTCCACCTGTACTGGGGGTTGAACCACGGACCTCAATGTGTGAGCTGATTTTCTACCAACTGAACTATGGTATAATTGTAATAATAATGACAATAGTAAGGTTGCATAGCAAAAAAGTCACTGACTTTTTTGGGGTTAAAACCTAGTAGTTTACACAAATGTTAAAAATGTATGATAAATTGTGTAACTGTATTTTTGTGTATCTGTACATAAATAAACTTATTTGAAGGTCAGTGGCCCATAAACAGCAACAGCCTGGTTGACCAGGCAGGCACTTGGGCCAGGCTCTGGGAGTAGAAAAATTGTAGCAACTCATGAAAGGTACCTAATTGTGCAATGCTCTGCTGTACTATGTACATTAATGCACATATAATATTTTTTGTAGGTACGTTATTAAATATTTACATTATACATGTACATTAGTTACTGTCTGACATTTGTTTCAGAAATTGAAATGAACAGTTATGACATTTGCCAGCAATGTAGTTGCAGGCAGTATCCTTACATGATGTTGATGTATTTACTTACTGTACATTTATGTTTCATTTATTTTCATAACAAAAACATTTATTTTGTACATATTGTAGCATCACTAGTACCATTGTAATGACTCTCTGGGATACTATGATGTACATAAAATTTATGCCTCCTGATGACTCCCAGAATGGTACTAAGTACGTACAATGGACCCCCAGATATCGGCCAGTGTGGCAGTCGGCCAATTCGGTAATCGAGCACTTGGTAATCAAGAAATTTCCCCCCCAGTTTCAGCCCTCTCCTCGAATTCATTCCCCCTTTTGGGGTTAGCGTTTTTTTGATTATAATAAAAAAAATCCTCGAAAATTCCCTTGGTATAGATGCGTCCCCCTCTGGCGATGCACTTTTTCCTCGCGTTATTTCACTCAGTCGGGGGTCCTCTCGTAGGGTTTGGAATACTCCGCGCATTCACCATTGTTGTTGTGCTTGTTTAAATTGATTGCAACATGAAATAAGCCCACCATGGGTAAAAAGAGAGAAAAGATAAAATCAAGAAAAAATTTATTGAAAAATATGAAAGGGGTGTACGTGGTGGAGCGGCCGGGATGTACGAGAAATTAATCAACAATCAGTTCCATCCTTTGAAGAATACAAAAATCGGGGAAGCTGATGTTAAAAGGTGTAAATACAAACGAAACGAAGTCTAAAACAATCAAGGATGTGGAGAAGTTGTTGATTCAATGAACCTTTTACTTGTGTATCACTCTGAAAATCCCCGAGTGTTTAAGAAAAACAATGTCATGAAGAGTAAATTGTGTGTGATATGGAGGGATAACAATAAGGCATGAGTCACAAGGTTAATTTTCTTTGAGTGGGTCAATGAAGTGTTTGGCCCGAGTGTGAAGAAATACCTCCTGGAAAATAAATTGCCACTCAAGTCCTCCTGGAAAAGGCAAGGCTCCTGCTCATCCTCCAGACTTGGAAGACCAATTGTTGGAGTTTAGTTTCATCACAGTGAAGTTCTTGCCCCCTAATACCACTCCTCTCATCCAGCCCATGGACCAGCAGGTTATTTCAAACTTCAAAAAACTGTACACCAAAGCAATGTTTCAAAGGTACTTTGAAGTGACCTCGGACACTGAATTGACCCTAAGAGAGTCCTGGAGGAATCGCTTCAATATCCTCCACTGCATAAGCCTTAGAGATAAGGCTTGGCAGGAGTGACTTCCAGGGCTTTGAACTCTGCTTGGAGAAAATTGTGGCCAGAATGTGTTCTCGACAAGGGTTTTGAAGGGTTTGAGGCTGACTCTGATGACCCTATGCCTGTTGTGGAATCTATTGTGTCTTTGGGGAAGTCCATGGGGTTGGATGTGAGTGGCGAGGATGTGGAAGAGTTGGTGGAGGACCACAGGAAAGAGCTAACCACTGAAGAGCTGCAACACCTTCAACAGGAACAGCAACAGATCACAGCTGAGGATATTGCTTAGGGGAAAGAATGTGCCTTCTTCAGTGATTAAGGACATTTGTGTAAAGTGGAGTGAGGTGCAAAGTTTTGTGGAGAATTATCACCCTGACAAAACTGTTGCAAGCTGTGTCTGCAACATGTTCAGTGACAATGTCTTGTCCCATTTTAGGTAAATTTTACAGACGCCAGAAACAGGCATCTCAGACAGATTTTTTATGCGACAGGGGTGCAGTGACTCTCAAGCTGGTCCTATTGCCAGTAAAAAACAAAGAAGAGAAGCAACCCCAGAGAGGGACTTGATAAGAGATAAGATAAGATTTCGTTCGGATTTTTAACCCCGGAGGGTTAGCCACCCAGGATAACCCAAGAAAGTCAGTGCGTCATCAAGGACTGTCTAACTTATTTCCATTGGGGTCCTCAATCTTGTCCCCCAGGATGCAACCCACACCAGTCGACTAACACCCAGGTACCTATTTGCTGCTAGGTGAACAGGACAAGTGTAAGGAAACGTGTTGAAATGTTTCCACCCGTTGGGAATCAAACCTGGGCCCTCCGTGTGTGAAGCGGAAGCTTTAGCCACCTTGGAGGGGGATTTCCCTTCCAAACAATAAGCTCTCCTCCCTCTCACTTCCTCGCCTTCTTCCATATGCCAACAAGAGTATACAATTGAGGTATGTAATATTCATTTATCATTAAAATTACTGCTTTATATTTCTTTCTCATTGTTTTCTGTATGTAAAACTATAGGTATTCTTTAAAAAATGTATTGTTAATACTTTTGGGTGTCTGGAGCGGATTAATTGGATTTACATTATTTCTTATGGGAAATATTACTTCGGATTTAGGCCAACCTTCTGGAACGGATTGTGGCTGATAACCGGGGGTCCACTGTACACATTTCTTTTTCATCAGGCGTACTGTGGGTGTGCAATGTATCGGTAAGGTGGGTATTGGCCAGTTTTCTTGGTATTGATATCGGTCTAAATTTTAATATTGGTATCGTCTCATTCCTAAAAGACCCACATTTACTTTTGCCAGATGAATTTTGCACATTAGAACGATGTGGACCTTAATATGAGCTCACTGTGGTTCTTGCATAGATTTACTTAGCACCCAGTTGCCCACTTGGTGTAAATTTAAGCTTCCACCTGTTGCAATTAAGTCATTTGTGCTACTAATATATTAAACATTAGTGAAGAGGTCAACGAATGTATGTAAATCTTAGTCCATAGTTGTATAGGCAAATTGTTGGAGTCTGAACATTAACTGGTTTGTATATTTTTTGTTATACAGTGGTATGTAAACTTATGTAATCCATTGGTACCCTGTAATGTATGTAATCTCTTGATATCCTGTAGTGTATGCTATCTCTTGGTATCTTGTAGTGTAACTTATCTCTTGGTATCCTGTTGTGTATGTAAGCTCCTGGTATCATGTAGTATATATAATATTTTGGAATCCTGTATTGTATGTAATCTTTTGGTCTCCTGTCTTGTATGTAATCTCTTCGAATCCTATAGTGTATGTAAGCACTTGGTATCCCTTACTGTATGGTATCCTGTACTGTATGTAGGCTCTTGGTATCTCGTACTGTACTGTATGTAGGCTCATGGTATCTCATACTGTATGTAGGCTCTTGGTATCCCATACTGTAAGTAGTCTCTTGGTATCCCATACTGTAGGTAATCTCATGTAATCTCTTGGTATCTTGTACATGTATGGAATAAGTTATTATACACTTGATCAATCCTTATTTTGTAATAGAGGGAAGTATTAAAAGATTTATATAAATAACATTCCCTAATTTTATGAAATGTTTAATTAATTATCGTCTCAAAACAGGAACTGTGGTGTTATCCACATGCAGCTCAGTGATGCGTGGACAGTTGTATGCGGTGGCTTCTGGCCTCTTGGCTGCGCTGGCAAGTCTCTGTGGCAAATATGCTATGGCCAGTACAGAAGCTCAAGATCTTTGTGAAAGTGTCCTTTTAATGCTTCATAATGAGGAAGAAATTACAAATACAAACAATGTCATTACCATATGTGATCAGGTAAGTGAGAACACTATGGATAAGGACTAAACTAATAAAATATCTGTTAGGTATCTATTTACTACACTGCACGAACATGATAATAATAGTAGTAGTAGTAATAGTAATAATAATACGTAATAGTAAATAATAATAATTTTTTTTTTTTTTTCAACAAGTCGGTTGTCTCCCACCGAGGCAGGGTGACCCAAAAAAGAAAGAAAATCCCCAAAAAGAAAATACTTTCATCATCATTCAACACTTTCACCACATTCACACATTATCACTGCTTTTGCAGAGGTGCTCAGAATACAACAGTTTAGAAGCATATACGTATAAAGATACACAACATATCCCTCCAAACTGCCAATATCCCAAACCCCTCCTTTAAAGTGCAGGCATTGTACTTCCCATTTCCAGGACTCAAGTCCGACTATATGAAAATAACCGGTTTCCCTGAATCCCTTCACTAAATATTACCCTGCTCACACCAATAATAATAATAATAATAATAATAGTACAGTATAATAATAATAATAATAATAATAATAATAATAATAATATTTATTTCTACAAAGTACATTGTACAATTTATACAGGAATAGATGTCATTATTGGTATATTTTATAGAAAGCCCCTGTGTATGCAGAACATTTCAAGTGGCCTTAAAATTAACTTATAACTATGGAATGACTATTTAAGTATGGATGGAAAAAGAGAGACAAATGCAGTGTAATGCAATCCTCTACTGACAGTGTTTCACTCACACAGTGGGCTTTGTCAAGTTTGCAGCCTTTGACATTATCACCGTGATTTATGATTGATATTTTTTTAAATTTTTTGTAAAACAATGTGTTATAACATTTGAAACAGTTATTATGTATGTTGTTCGAATGAAAATAATAAGCAATATTTCGGCATTATATGGCGTTTTTAGCTGTACAAAATAAGAAAGGTTTGCGATGTTGAAATACTTTTTCATAAGTAAAGAAGGCTTATGACTAATGGGGTGGGGGGGGTTAGGTGGCCAGTAATGGCAGTTATGTGGATAGAGAAAAGATTATTTTGCCATGATTGTAACAAAGAACAGTTCTGTGACCAAAGGAGTTTGTCCATTGTTTCCAAATCTATTGATCCAGCAGATTTTGCTCCGAATTTCCGAAGTCCATTAAATAGAGGGTTAACTGTATATGATGCATAAGTGGATCTTTGCCACGGTTTGTGTGTTAATGTATGGTGTCCATGGACTGTCTCTAAATGAAACAAAGCATGATCTGATAAAAGAGGAATTATTAAGTACTGAGAAATTAAAAAGTTAAGATAAATCCTTAAAACTTTTCATGCTACTAATCTTTCCCTTCATTCCTGTTTGATTGGTCAGCTAAGGCAGATGGGCAGAGCTAAATTATGGCACGTTCTTCTTGGATTATACAAGAACTAGCTACAAGCAGTATTAAAACAGGGAAGTGTTTTTGGGTATGCCCAAATGAGATAAATCTGTGGACTAAAATCACAAGGGTATTAAAAAGAGGTCAACATCAAAGCTGCTTTTCCATAGAACAACCTGGAGAAGCTTTCATACAACAGATGGAACATAAAAGTCCGGGCTGAATGGTACTGCCCTTTGATACAGCCATGTAGTCAGAAACTGTAAGGCTGGAGATGATTCCTGGTAGTCCATAAATGGGGGGCTGATAGTCTGTCCCTGGGAGACAGTAATGGGGAAAGCTTGGAGGTGCGTCCTGGGAGAACAGTAATGTGAAGCTGGAGGGTGCCTGTCCTGGGAGACATTAATGGTGAAGCTGAGATGCTGTCCCTGGAGACAGTAATTGGGAATGCTGGAATGCTGTCCTGGAACAGTATGGTGAAGCTGAGATTATGTCGCAGGTAGTCGGGAATTATAACCAGGAAGGAATACTATGAATGACCTCATAGGGGACAAGGACCATAGTAGGGAAACAAGTGTAGTCAAAGATAAGATAAAAACCAATATTGCAAACTAGAAATACCGCAAGGAAATAGCAACAAGATGACTCCGTAAGCCCCAATAGTGAGGATATATTACCAAAAACAAATGGTGGGAGCTCCATTGTTGGTGCTAGGGAGGATAGAAGAAAGACAGGGAAACATGCACCAACAGGGAATACAGTCACAGAAACCCAAGGCCAAACGGAAACCAAGCCTGTGCACATACTATGCACTCGGTATCTGCTGGCATGGGAAATCTGGAAAAACAGATGGGACGTGCAACTATGACCACCCTAGGAAATGCCATGCCCATATGACAACAGGAAAATGCAAACTCCTTCCTGTAAGCTTTTTCACCCTGAACTGTGTACCTCTTCAGTACAGGAAAGACTGTGCTATAACTTAAATTGCCAGGCATACCATCTAAAGGGGACAAAAAGATACAAAACATCCAGGCCATGGGAAAACCTGGGTAGCCACAGCCACTCAAGAGGGAGAGGTTTTTAGTGCCGGAAGGAAAAAAAACTGGCAGGAAATGGCAGAAATCGTACACCAAATCCAGTCATTCCTGGAGTGGAACCACAGTCGATGGCCTCCACTCCAAACCAACAGATACAGATACTAATGCCGGAAAAAAAATCCCCCCCCAATACCAACAATACCACCAGTCCGATAACATTCTTCTTTGCAAATATACAGGTCTAAAGCCAGCAACAAACAACAAAATACCTTTCATCCGTGGACTGCTTGCAGAGGCAAAGGCAATGTTCGCGGCTTTCACTGAGACCCACATAAAGGATCACTTGGACAACGAAATATGGATCCCAGGTTACAACCTATACAGATGTGACAGAGTGAACAGGCAAAAGGGGGGGGTTGGCCTGTACATTGCAGAGTCACTTGTTTGCACAGAACTGCTAAATGCCTCAAATGATGTAGTGGAAGTTTTAAACAGTAAAGGTCGAGAACCAAAACCTAGTCATTGTGATAGTCTACAAGCCTCCGGATGCAACATCCCAGCAATTCCAGGAACAGCTGTTAAAAATTGACCACTGTCTGAAAACCTTCCAGCTCCTGCACCCAACATCTTGCTCCTGGGGGATTTCAACTTAAGGCACCTAAAATGGAGGAATATAGCAAATAATATTGTTGCAGTAATAACACCAGGAGGCAGCTCTGATGAAAACTCACACTCACGCGAGCTTTTAAATCTCTGCACAAAATTCAATTTAAACCAGCAAATAATAGAGCCTACTAGACTGGAGAATACACTAGACCCTCATCTTCACTAACAATGATGATCTGATAAGAAATATCACCATATCAAAAACAATATACTCAGATCACAACATAATTGAGTTTCAGTCATGTATGCGCGGAGCCCCAGACCGACATAATGAGATTAGTCACGAGGAGCATTCCACCAAATTCAACTTCAATAACAAAAACATAAAGTGGGACCAAGTAAACCAAGTCCTAACCGATATAAGCTGGGAAGATATATACTAAGCAACACAGACCCCAACTTATGCCTAGAACAGATTAACTCGGTAGCACTCGATGTATGCACAAGGCTTATTCCTCTAAGAAAAAGGAGGAGTAGATGTAAAACAGAATGAGACAAGGCGCTCCCTTTACAGGCGACGGAAAAGAAAAACAGAGCGGCTAAAAGAGTCAATATATCTGAAATGCGTAGGGAGACACTGGTCAGAGAAATAGCAAGCATCGAACTTAAGCTAAAAGAATCGTTTAGGAGTCAGGAATCGCGGGAAGAACTAAAAGCCATAAATGAAATCGAAAGAAACCCAAAGTATTTCTCTCCTATGCCAAATCAAAATCGAGAACAACGTCCAGTATTGGGCCCCTACTTAAACAAGATGGTGTCTACACAGATGACAACAAGGAAATGAGTGAGCTACTCAAGTCCCAATATGACTCAGTTTTTAGACAAGCCGCTAACCAGACTGAGAGTCGAAGATCAAAATGAATTTTTTATGAGAGAGCCACAAAATTTGATTAACACAAGCCTATCCGATGTTATCCTGACGCCAAATGACTTCGAACAGGCGATAAATGACATGCCCATGCACTCTGCCCCAGGCCAGACTCATGGAACTCTGTGTTCATCAAGAACTGCAAGAAGCCCCTATCACGAGCCTTTTTCCATCCTATGGAGAGGGAGCATGGACACGGGGGTCGTCCCACAGTTACTAAAAACAACAGACATAGCCCCACTCCACAAAGGGGGCAGTAAAGCAACAGCAAAGAACTACAGACCAATAGCACTAACATCCCATATCATAAAAATCTTTGAAAGGGTCCTAGAAGCAAGATCACCACGCATCTAGAAACCCATCAGTTTACACAACCCAGGGCAACATGGGTTTAGAACAGGTCGCTCCTGTCTGTCTCAACTATTGGACCACTACGACAAGGTCCTAAATGCACTAGAAGACAAAAAGAATGTAGATGTAATATATACAGACTTTGCAAAAGCCTTCGACAAGTGTGACCATGGCGTAATAGCGCACAAAATGCGTGCTAAAGGAATAACAGGAAAAGTCGGTCGATGGATCTATAATTTCCCCTCACTAACAGAACACAGAGAGTAGTCGTCAACAGAGTAAAGTCCGAGGCAGCTACGGTGAAAAGCTCTGTTCCACAAGGCACAGTACTTGCTCCCATCTTGTTCCTCATCCTTATATCCGACATAGACAAGGATGTCAGCCACAGCACCGTGTCTTCCTTTGCAGATGACACCCGAATCTGCATGACAGTGTCTTCCATTGCAGACACTGCAAAGCTCCAGGCAGACATCAACCAAATCTTTCAGTGGGCTGCAGAAAACAATATGAAGTTCAACGATGAGAATTTCAATTACTCAGATATGGTAAACATGAGGAAATTAAATCTTCATCAGAGTACAAAACAAATTCTGGCCACAAAATAGAGCGAAACACAACGTCAAAGACCTGGGAGTGATCATGTCGGAGGATCTCACCTTCAAGGACCATAACATTGTATCAATCGCATCTGCTAGAAAAATGACAGGA